TGCATTTTTCATGGTATTCATCATGTTAGTAGTTTACATGACTATAACATTAATTATAGAAAATATAGCACAATGATTTGTGTCATTTAAACAATGTGATCAACAATAAATAGTTATCTTTATACAAATGAATTGAATTGCACATGCCAGAGTCTAATCCAGGCAATTTAGTCAAATACTTGGATGTCATCCCAGGATATAATTTTGTCTTTCAGTAATATTGGTGGACAATGAATGATTGGTTGATGGGGTGCTGGGAGAGACATAGAACATTGAAAAGCTTAATCAGAAAGTAAATTGTAAAAAAAAGATTGATTGTAATAGTATACAAACTATATCATTAGACATTTTAAATAACTGATAGATAACTAGTGTTTACTAAAATCTTGGAGCCAAAGCATTTAGCCATTACATACTGTAACTATAAAGCAAAGCTATATGGCAGTTAATTTATTTTTGACTTACAGTTTTATAGCTGAGCCAAATGGCCTTTCAAAATTCTCCACCAATTTTTTAGGCAGAGCAACTGAGTGGAGATAGATCATGCCATTATTTCTATGTTGTATATGTAAATGTGTATACCCACACACATATGCACACATTTCCCCAGAGGCATTGGCAAATTTAACTCACTAATGGGAACAAAATTCCTAAAGATGCTATACTCTAGTTAAATAGGGCACAACATGGAAGTCACAAAATGATGTTTTATATTTTTACAATTAAAATGCATTACATTCTGCAAAAGTCAAAAGCAACCTTACTTAAATAGTTGTCCAACCAGGCCAAAACCAAAACTAATATGCATCCATGAGAGCCAATATATAGCATTTAATCCTTCCTATGATTCTGTGTTGCTTGACAAAACACAACAAAGCTGTTATTTTTGCTATTTTTAGAGCCGTGGTGGTGCAGTAGTTAGAATGCAGCATTGCAGGCTAACTGTCCACTACCAGGAGTTTGATCCTCACCTGCTCAAGGTGGACTCAGCTTTCCATCCAATGGTGGGATTCAAATATGTGAACAACCGGTTCTCTGTATGGACACTGCTTCTGGAAGTCCATTCAGAGCCTGGGCAACAAAAAATTAGCTACTAGTTCTGCAGAAGTGGTGCGAACCGGCTGAATCCTACCAGTGCTTCCATCCCTCCAAGGTTGATAAAATGAGGGCCCAGATTGTTGGGGCCAATATGCTGACTCTGTAAACTACTTAGAGAGGGCTGAAAAGAACTAAGAAGCGGTATATAAGTCTAAGTGCTATTGCTATTTCTATTTGTACAGGAGGAGAAATTTTAAAATTTCAACCAATATTTTTAATTCCCTTAGAATTTTACAGTCCGTATTCACAAGGCTCAGTTCAGCAATAATTCCTGCATTATTTTTTCTCAATGCAACTTTATTTGACTGCATTTTGAAATCTTGTAAGAAGAAATATAGTGAAGAAGCTATGAATCAGAAATTTCCCGATTCAAAATTTCACTGTTTAAATTGCATAGCTGGCCATACAATAGTTTACATCTCTCCAGCTTCTTTCTTTGTGCCCTCAGAAATGCTTTTTAATAGACATAGAAAGAATGCAGAAATGCAAATGGGGAACTCAGCTATCTTCCAGAAACTCTCTCATTGCAGTTCAGAAAGCCATGATTATATCTTCACAAGTTCGGATTAGGCTGAACAATGCTTTTTTGAAAAACTGCCATATTGAGGGAATTTGAGATGAATTCACTTTTTACATAACTGTATGTAATGCATCTCTCAAGAAACAGCTTTTTTAATAGATTGAAGAATACTAGATTATTCTTTTCTTTTACTGCGTACATTGAAACCTCATAGAAATTCAGAGTGGTAAACAAGGAAGTAATCCTACAAGCACATAAGGTTCCCATTAACCTTCATCTCCAAGCTATACAAAATGAGTCACCACAGGCCTGAATCTATTTAAATGACTTTGGTGTAATTTCCAGATTCAGAGGCACTAATGCTACTAAAATAATTTTTAAGTTAAGAACTTTGTCACAAAATAAAAAGTGTAATTATGCTACTTACTTTAGGAGCAGAGAATCAGCTCAATCTGTATCAGCCTTTGCATGCTAAATTCTTCAAGTCTTTGTCTGTAGTTAGTACAAATTTTCCCTCAGGGCATTTTTTGTGAGAGGTGCTCCCCTGCATTGGTGAAGTACTCTCATCCTGGCCAGTTGTACGGTAAGTATAAATCAAGGGTCCTTGGCATTTCCTGATTCCAGTACTACTAAACTGAGTGGTTCTTTTACCTGCCCAAATTACTAAGCAGCCAAGATGCATGTGTAAGTATCCTGTTTTTCACATTATTATTTCCTTAGCATCCTACTACTTCTTGGGCTTTTTGTATTTCATTTACAGGTACAGGTTGTCCTCAACTTACAACAGTTCATTTAGTGACCGTTCAAAGTTACAACGGCACTGAAAAAGGTGACTTATGACAGTTTTTCGCGCTTATGACTTTTGTGCCATCCCCATGATCACATGATCAAAATTCAGATGCTTGGCAACTGACTCAAATTTACGACAGTTGCAGTGTCCTGGGATCTTGTGATCACCTTTTGCAAACTTCTGACAAGCAAAGTCAATGGGGAAGCCAGATTCACTTAACAACTGTGGCAGGAAAAGTCGTAAAATGGGGCAAAACTCACTTAACAAACGTCTCCCTTAGCAACCTAAATTTTGGGCTCAGTTGTGTCCTAAACTGAGGACTCCCTGTAGTTCTTGTTTAGCAACTGCCTCATTTACTATCATTCACAGTTATGACCATCATGAGGAAACTAACTTTGCAACCAATCCTCAAATGTATGACCTCAGCAGGTCTGTAAAGCAAAAGAAAGCTGAAATAAGATCATAAACATAGAGGTGGTTTCATTTAGCGACTGCTTCATTTAATGACCAGGTGCTAAATTAGGATCACTAAATTAGGATTAGCTGTAATGGAAGTCATAAAAGCTCTTTTTTAATTTCACACCAGAAGCAGAAGCAGAAGAATTATGAGAACACATGTAACTGAAAACTGCAACCACAACACTATCACCCCCACTTCTGCACTGCTACAGTAAATGATCAAAGAAGACCTAAAACAGCTGTGGATGAAGTAAGAAACAAAAGACTTTTTTAAAAAACTAATGTTTTCTAGGGGGTGAGGGAGAATGAAAGCCATGTTTCAGGACAGTATTTCTTCACATTGTGCTTCATTTGCATTATAGTATTCCACTTCCCCCCCCCCCCGCTCCTTGATATTCCTTTGAGCATAATGCTTCTGCATGACTGGAAAATTCTTCTCCAAATTACCCGTTGATAGACTCAGTTGAAGAAGGAAAGATGTACTGCTTTCTATAAACAGCTAATCTTGCAAAGTGTATACTTTGCACAACACATATTAAGAAGGCACAGAAGAAAGTAGCATTTGCCAAGACTCTCTGTATAAATGGGGCACTGATTTCAGTGTTACTATGGGGTCCCACATCAAACTATAGATCATATCATCAACACTTGTAAGCTGATGGCACATAACAGTCAGTATCTGATTTTTTTAAAATACAATGGTTAAAATATAATGCGCTTCAATGGTTAGATGGCCTAGACATTTATTTGAATATAGATCTTTTAACATTTCTATTTTATTGTGTTTTACTAATCTAGATGAAATGTTATTATATATTGCTAATCTATGTATGATATGCCAGACACTAAATAAATCAGCTTATGGCTGGACATAATGATAATGCTATTTCATATGAGACCCATATGTTGTAATATTTAGGGATTTTATTGGGGTTTTGGAGTATTTGAAGGTGAAACATATGCTGAAAAAAAAATGACTCGGTCTTTAGAGAAGGAAATTTCTAGGTAAGAAACCCCTAAAATCCTTAAGGTTCAAAAAAATCCCCAAAAGACAGAAAGAAAAAGCTGAAAATTTGGCTCTGTGAACCCCAAGGTCAAGGAGTCTGGAGATTACATACAGCATAAAGGCAGCCCTGCTTTAGAGATGATTTCATCTTGTAAAGTATGGAGTGGACCAAAGATCTCTTCAGATCTGACACATTAAATTCACTGCAAATAGATTTATGTAATGGGTTGAGCATATTAATTATATATTCTAGGAGATGATAGGTCTGAATAAATTAGCCATATATAAACATCTATGAAATGGTGGCCTGGCTTCCCTCCCTCTCATTTTCATTGACATGAATCAAGGAAAAAGACAACCAAACAATTGGTAAGCTAATGTCAAAGAGACACAAGTGATTTGTAAAGGTCATCCACTTGCACGTTAAAGAAAAGAAACAGAGATTCACCCTTCTATAGCATTAGGAAAAATAAGAGAAGAAATGTAACAGATACTGTAATTCTGATATTTTAGTTTCTGCTCTTTGGGTTACAAGTTTGTATCTTTATTAAAAAGGGCAAGGACTCCTTTGAACCAAAGCAAATGATGGAGATACTGAAAAAATTGTAATATGTTACTAGCTCTCCATTTCAGGTCAGATGCAGCAGTGGTTAAAGATGGTCAAGAAGTCATTGAGGCAATCTAACATACTTCAGGTAATCTTTAGAGAAAATACTTTGAATGGCTATGGAGAGGCTTTATGAGAAATTGATAGATTGGTGGACAAGGTTGAGTGCAAATGGGGGCAGAGCTATCATATTTTATTGACCTGAAAATCCTTACGAGTGGAGTTGTGTAAGGAGGAAAAGAAAGCTCTAAGCAGAGGAAGGAAATAGCTTTTGTTGTCACATAAGGAGATAAAAACCCAAACCATCTTTCAGCTTTGATAAAATGTACTTAAGAACTCAGTGAGCATTCTGAGGAATAATTGCACTGGAACTAAATGGAACTTCTAAGGAGGATTTTCTCACTGGCCCAGTTCTGGAAGCTAAGTACAAGGGGGGGTTGATATCCCTAACTGAGACTACAATATGCCTCATTTAACACTATCAAAACCATGGGGGGAAAGTAAGAAAATTATGACTCACCAGTATAAGTGTCAAAAATGATCCTCCAGGACCTTGTCATTAAAGCAGCATTTGATGGAGGCCAGGGCTGCTGGTGAAAAACCAACTTGGCAGCATTCAAACATCTGATTCATATTCATGAAGAAAAGCATGCTATGGATCGAAGAACAAGATAACAACATCAAGACTAGCCAGGGCTGAGGCATCTTTGTACAGGAAAGCTCTTTCATAAACCTGAACTTTATATGGTCCATAAAGTAGAATCTGCACTTCTTGGAAGGGTTGGCAGAAATGAGAACCAGTCTGTGGGAGATGGTGCTCAAAAATTAATGTGGGTAATTTCCAGTTTTATTTGTTCTCAGGCAATGCCTATATCCAGATCAAAGCAAGTACACATATCACTCACATCAGTTAGCAAAAAATATAACTTGATGATTAATTATCAACAAATATCAAAAAGTGTAAAATGAAAAAGTAGGGGGAAAGACTGCCAAAGAGGGAAAGAGACAGAGCACAGCAGATATTATAGTATAGTAACAGGCTATATTATCTACAGTATATCTATTTATCAAAGTATACAGAACCTTCAAGAGCTAGACAAGAAACAATATTGTAGGGACATTGCATAGATAGTCTCAAAGAGAGTGGCTTTTAGTCATTCCAGCTTTAACCGTTTTCTATAAATAATGGAGACAGGTGGAAAATAGAACATTGGTGATCCCTTCTCTATTCTGCACCATAAAAGAACAATTTGTAGGTGAGGATGATATCCAACAGATGAATGCTTTGTTGCAAGCCACATCTATCAAGGTGAGACAAGTGACATAGAAGATAAGAAATATTGCATTAAAGGCTTCCGGTTCCGGGTCACAGTGCTGCCGTCGTGCAGAGAGGCTTCTCTCTTTGCCGGCCAAGATTCCCCCACCGGTAGACCCTTGATTGGGTCGAAAGTCGCCCTGGAGGGGTGACCACTGTTGAAGAGGCTGCCTGTTTGACTGCAGAGGGGTGGCGGCACCCTCTGCTGTCCAAGTAAGCTCCTTTGGGCCGACGGAGTAAAGATCGGTCAATAAAATGGCCGATCACTTAGCTGCACCAACTGTAAGCTACAAGGCATCTAACTGAAATAGAACCACCGTAGAAGATTCAGTGAGACCTTTCCTTGCCTCTCCCTTTCCTATTTATTCCTGTCAAAAGCCTTTGGAATCATTTCCCTATCTTTTTAAAGCGGCTTTATTGATGGGGGAAGGAAAGCCTTGGAACAAAAGAAAAATTAATTTTAACTTTTTCAATGGTTGATTTTATTTTTGAATATTTGGTAGTCCTAAAATCCTTGTTATAGAAACTTAATATGCTAGCAATTTGGAAGATTTTTTTTTATTTTATTTTTATTTTATTTTTATTATTTATTTACTATTTTTATAACTAAAGAAAAGAAGGAAAAAAGGAAAAGATGTACTTTGGGTGATTCAAAAATGACTGTAATTAAACTAGATGCAACTTCTAAAAAGATGAACCACGAACTATTGAGAATCGCTACAACTTTTTCACTAGCCTATCCAAATGGACAATGGGAGATTCTCCTCTGATTTATGCGTTATGGCAAGAAAAAGAGGGAGTTTTATTTGTGGACTTAGAGACCTTACTATGGAAACCCGTTTGGAACAGAAAGAAAGCTAGAATAAGATATAAATATGGAATTTAAGATTACATTTATGGATTGCAATGGCTTTATAGAGATATGGATTGATTTGGATTTAGATTTTTAAAAGGTGTTTTTAGGATAAGATTTAGAATTTAATATTGAAATATAGTAAGAATATATCTTTTGGAATAATAGATCTTCCTTCTTTTCTCTTTCTTTTTCTTGGTCTTTTTTTGTTTCTTTCTATTATTTTTTTCTATTTTTTCTATGCTTTCTTATTATTAGATATGATAGTTAATTTGTGGAGCTATAATGATAAAAAGATTGTAATGATGGAAGAGATGAAATTAATAAATGAAGAATTACTGAATAAGAAATAGAATATAGTTGAGAAATGTAAGAATGTAATTATGGAAATAATATGCTTAAATAAGAGAAATTATGGACACCCAAATTGTAAATAATATTTTTGTTTAAGGCTAAGTTAGATATGGTATATGGTATTTGGAAATTAATAAACCTAAAAACAGGGTTTGATTTACATCGATGAAAAGTTGTTGATAATTTCTATTGATTAATTGAATTCTTATTTAATGAATTAATCTTATCTAGAAATGTATTAGTTTGACTATACTATTCTAATTGTTAGAGTGGGAAATTTTAAGGAGCATTATTTGAGCTATAAATGTATGATATTATTGTACCTAACTGATTACCCTATCTCTACGTTGTTTCTTAAGCTTTCTGGTGTAAAAAGGGAAAAATCAATAAAATTGTTTGGGGAAAAAAAGAAATATTGCATTAAAAAAGCAAAAAAAATGGATTTAAAATAGGAATACAAAATAGAAGTGCTAATGATTTTCTTAAATGATTAACATTTGTTTTAGCACTGTTGCTTAACACTGTTCAAAGAATATTTTGATTCATGTTCAGCTGTTAATATAATGGGCTGTGCAAGGCTGCCATTTCAGCAAATGCAGTATTAAGGTATTGTTATTTTAATACTGCATTGTTATTTCCTTTGCTACTTTAGCATAAGAAAATCACTAGAGATGACATCAGAATGAACAGCCAATTTCTAATCTGTTTCTGTTTATAATTAGTGTTGCATTTATGTTCTCTCTTTCCTAATTTATACAAAAAAATCTCACCTTACATTTTATATATGTCTATTTCTAAAAAGTCAGCTGTTTCCTATTATTGGAATATATTCTAGTTTCTCAGTGAAGGATTTTTAAGGCCCATGAGAAATCAAAATAACTATTGACAATCTATTCAAGCTGGCAACAATAACCAAGACTTTACCTCCATGCTGTCACTCCAAAATATTTCTGTGGAGATTGAAAGAGATTAATTATGTGTCTCTGTCAATTTCATGTTACTCAAAAAATCTTAGTGCAGACAGTTGTCAAAGCAGATAAAATTAAAAATTATATAAATAAATTAATTTTTGTTATTGCTATGGTGTCATTATGACACATGTACTTTCCAAAGGGCATATCAATCTATTTCAACACTTGCAATGAAAAAGTCTATCTCAAACAAGTATGTAAATGACATGTTAGAAAGGAATTAAAATATAAGTGGAAACATGGAAAAATATTCTCATTGCAATTATGCTTTCAATAATAATAATAATGACAGACTTTATCTACCAAGGCAAATAGGTGGGCGTGGAATGCTACAAGTAGATCAGATGGTTGAAGAAGAAAAAATGGCTTTGGAAGAATATCTGAAGAACAATGATGAAGATGCACTAAAATTAGTATATCAGGAAGGCTTACTGACTACTGGAGAGACCAAACTGGCCTACAAGAAAGACCAAGTGAAGAACAGAATAGAGGCATGGGAAGACAAAGCACTACATGGCCAATACATTAAAAAAATAGCTGGGAAAGCAGATAATAACAAGACCTGGCAATGGCTAAGAGCAGGAAAATTGAAGAAAGAGACCAAGGGACTAATTCTGGCTGCACAAGATCAAGCCTTAAGGACAAATGCATATAAAGTCAAAATTGAGAAGACAGCAACAGACAGTAAGTGCCGCCTATGCAAAGAAGCTGAAGAAACAGTGGACCACCTGGTAAGCTGTTGCAAGAAGATTGCACAGACTGACTACAAGCAGCGGCATGACAAAGTAGCAACAATGGTGCATTGGAAGATCTGCAAAAAATATCATTTGCCTGTAAGCAAAAACTGGTGGGATCATAAAATAGAGAAAGTCATAGAAAATGATAAAATTAAACTGCTCTGGGACTTCAGAATTCAAATAGACAAGCACCTGCAATAGGTGGCGCAGCAGTTAGAGTGCAGTACTGCAGGCCACTTTAGCTGACTGTGTTCAGCAGGTCAGCGGTTCAAATCTCACCGGCTCAAGGTTGACTCAGCCTTCCATCCTTCCGGGGTAGGTAAAATGAGGACCCAGATTGTTGGGGGCAATGTAAATATATATATACATTGCTTACTGGTGTACACCGCTTAGAGAGTGCTTGCACTTAAAGCGGTATATAAGTCTCATAAATAAATAAATAAATAAATAACACCCCAGACTTAACAATTGTCGATAAGAAAGACAAAAAAGTCTGGATAGTGGATGTGGCAGTGCCTGGAGGCAGAAGAATAGACGAGAAAGAACTGGAGAAAATAACAAAATACAAAGACCTACAAATAGAAATAGAAAGACTGTGGCAAAAGCAAGCAAGGGTGGTACCAATAGTCATAGGCTCCTTGGGTGCAATCCCAAAACAACTGGAGCACCACTTGAACACCATTAGCATTGACAAATTCGCTATTAGTCAGTTGCAAAAGGCAGCCTTACTAGGAACTGCTTCCATCCTGCGACGATATCTGTAATACCATCAAACATCCACATCTGCCTATCCCAGGTCCTGGGTAAGGACTCAATAAGTAGACAAAATGCCAAATTCAGTTTGAACATCTGACTGACTGTGCGATGATCAATAATAATAATAATAATAATAATAATAATCCCCCAGTGAGGCACTACCTTGACGTGGTTGTGGGGCTTGTGTACTCTGAGGAAGATGAGAGCTATGCCAGAGGTTCAACCATACTGGACAGGTCTCATCAGAGGAGTCAGACAAAGAGTGTCTCTCCCATAAAAAATATGGTGAGACGTAAATTTCAGAATGCCATACCGGCTCGGACGTCACCCGGGTTAACAAGGTCCGCACTAGATATTGGAGTTCCTGGATATCTGGTGAAAAATGGGTTACAGGACTCAGGACTGTTGGCTGAGCAACCAGGGCCAGCAGCTGCAGAACTACTGGAAGAAAAGGTGTTTACCCGTCGCAGATACACAGTGATGGAAAACAAAGAAATAATGATCTGTTACTACAGATCAAGTCCAACAAGAAGAGGATATCTAAAACGAATGCACCAGTTCTGGAAAGAACAACATCCAGAATCAGAAATAACAGAACAGAGACTAGCAGATCAACGCCGATTTATAACACGAAATAAAGTATTCACAGAAACAGAATTGGACGAA